AATAATAATAATAATAATAATAATAATAATAATAATAATAATAATAATAATAATAATAATAATAATAATAATAATAATAATAATAATAATAATAATAATAATAATAATAATAATAATAATAATAATACGATAATAATAAATAGCGAGGGAAGTAGTATTTTTCGATTTTAATAAAAAAACGAGGTAATAAATATATATATATATATAAATTAAAGTTAAAAGTATAGTAAATATTAGTAAGGTCGGTATTATACTTAACGACGGTAACGAGGGTATCTCCGATACTATATTATTATAAGCTACTATTACTTAGAGAGTAATAAACTTAGCTAAGTAGGTATAGGTTTATAAGGTAGTAGTATTGCGCTTAATATCGTTATTAATTTATAATTATAAACTTTATAAGAGGGAAAGTTTAAAAAGGTAAAATATTTAAAAAAATAGTCTAATGAGATAGTAGGAGTATTTACTAATACTATATATTAATACTATATAACTGATATCAAGAATCGCCCGAGCAGCTAGTAAAGGTAGAAATAAAAAACAAATAACTAACTATTATAGCTAACTATTATAATTAACCTTTATTATTAATCTTTTTAGCCGGCGCTATTATAAAATAACTTACTTATCTTAAATTAAATAGCAGTTTTTATATTAAAATTACTATATTATATTAAGCACGTACTTAAAATATATTACGTATATTATATAGTTAAAAAGTATATTATATTATATAATTTCCCTTAAAAGCATAATCCCGTTAAGGTCGATCTTTTATACTTATAAAGCTAAAAAGAAAACCACTATATATTAATATTAATTTAAAAATTATACTTTACGGAACTAAAAATCTTTTTAATATAAGTTATATTATCGTAGTTATAAACTTTATAAGAGGGAAAGTTAAAAAGTTAGAAAATTTTAAAAAAATAGTCTATTAAGATAGTAGGAGTATCTATTAATATTATATATTAATACTATATAATTGATATTAAGAACTGCCTAAGTAACTAGTAAAGGGAGAATAAAAAAATAAATAAGTTATATTATAAATATAAAGGAATATATAGTCTATCGGGATAGTGAGAGTATATACTAATACTATGTATTAATACTGTGTAAACGATACTAAGAATCGCCCGAGTAGCTAGCAAAGGCAGAACATAAAAATAAATAAAAGAATATATAAAGGATCCCCTAATTTTTAATAAAAAAGAGTATATAATATAAGATCTAGCTACTTATATAAGCTAATACTAAGAGGTTTTATATATATTAAAATAAGTATAGCTCGCTTTCTAAATAACTAGAAATAGTAAAAAGTCGGGAGCTATTAATAAAAAGGAAATAACGGTCGAGTTAGTTAACTATTTTGATTAGTAATTAAGTATAGAGCGTAATATACCTAGTTTTCCTTAATACGTAATATTTAGTACGGCCCCGGCGGATTGCTCTATCGGGGGGACTATATATTATATATTAAGGAAAACTAAGTATAATACGCTCTATACCTAACTACTAACTAAAATAGTAATTAACTAACTCGATTATTATCTCCTTTTTATTAATAACTCTTAACCTTTTATTACTTACTTATAAAACGAGCTTTACTTATTTTAATATATATAAAACCTCTTAATATTAGTTTATATAAGTAGCTAAGTTTAGTATAATCTCTTTTTTTATATAAGTATTATTATTACCTAGGGGGTTTTATAAGAGCTATTTAAAGTACTAATTTATTATTTTAACTTTATATACCTCTAGCTTATTTATTATAATTATTATAATTAGATTAATATTAATATATTAAAATTTAATATTTATATTAGCCCGGCTATTTATAATATTAATAATATTACTTAACTAAATTCTATACTATTAAAAAGTACTTTATTATTTCTTAAGTATACTTATATTAATTATAATAACTATAGTATTAAGCTAGTTAAAGAAAGTACTTAGCTTAAGAGGGGTAGACTTATTAATAAGCATTTTTAAAAAGTTCTAACTTACTAATTACTAACTATATACTAAGAGTAGAGTAGTAATTTATATAGTGGTTTTTTTTCTAGCTTTATAAGTATAAAAGATCGACCTTAACGGGATCACGCTTTTAAAAGAAATTATATAATATAATATACTTTTTAACTATATAATATGCGCAATATATCCTAAGTACGTACTTAATATAATATAATAATTTTAATATAAAAACCACTATTTAATTCAGGATAAGTAAGCTGCCCTTTATATAGTAGCGCTAGTTAGAAAGGTTAATAATAGAGGTCGGCTATAATAATTAGTTATAAAAGTCGGTTATAATAGTCAGCTATAATAGTTAAAAATAGCCCTTAACTATAGAGGTTCTAAACTTTAATAGTAATATAGAAGTTTTTAAAAAAAGGGCTAAATAGGCTAATATTTACTACTCGTACTAGAGCTCGTAAAGATTCTTTTTATTTTTCTCGCTTCTAATATCGCCTAAAGCTCTATTTAAACTAAATAAATTTATTAAATAAATTTACTAAATAAATTTATTAAATAAATTTACTAAATAAACTTATTAATATATAAACTATTACTTGGATAGCTAGTTAAATAACTAGTTAAGAGGTTAGCTAGTTAAAATACTATTTTAATAAGAACTTACTCTATTTTTAGTATATAATTAGTAATTAGTAAGCTAAAGATACTTATTAATAAGTTTACCCCTCTTAAGCTAAGTACGCTCTTTAGCTAGCTCGACGCTATAGCTATTATAATTAATATAAATATACTTAAGAAGTAATAAAGTATTTTTTAGTAATATAGAATTTAGCTAGGTAATATTATAAGTATTATAAATAGCTAGGCTAATACGGATATTAAGATTTAGTATATTAATATTAACTTAGTTATAATAGTTATAATAAACGGGCTAGAGGTATATAAGGTTAGGGTAATAAGCTAATACTACAAATAGCTCTTATAGGACCCCCTAAGTAATAATAATACTTATATAAAAGAATAGATTATACTAAACTTAGCTACTTATATAAGTTAGTATTAAGAGGTTTTATATATATTAGAATAAGTAAAGCTCGCCCTATAAGTAGGTAGTAAAAGGTTAGGAGTTTTAGTTAGTAGTTAAGTATAGAGCGTATTATACCCAGTTTTCTTTAATACGTAATATATAGTACGGCCCCGGTAGATTGCTCCGTTAGGGGGAGAGTAGTAATTTATATATTAATAAGTTTATTTAATAAATTTATTTAGTAAATTTATTTAGTAAATTTATTTAGTTTAAATAGAGAGTAGCTTTAAGTAATATTAAAAATAATAAGGATAAAAATAATTTTTACGAGCTCTAATATAAGTAATAAATATTAGCCTATTTAGCCCTTTTTTTAAAAGCCTCTATATTATTATTAAAGTTTAGAACCTTTATAGTTAAGGGCTATTTTTAATTATTATAGCCGATTATTATAGCTAATTATTATGGCTGACCTCTACTATAAACCTTTTTAATTAGCGCCGCTATTAAAGAGAGTAGCTTATTTATCCTAAATTATATAGCGGTTTTTATATTAAAATTATTATATTATATTAAGCGCGTACTTAGGGTATATTATATATATTATATAGTTCCCTCTAATAGAGTAATTTACCGGGGCCGTACCGTATATTACGTATTAAAAAGAACTAAGTATATTACGCTCTATACCTAATTACTAATTAAAATAGTAGTTAACTAACTCGACCGTTATTTCCCTTTTATTAATAACTCCCGACTTTTTATTCCCTATTTAGAGGGCGAGCTATACTTACTTTAATATATATAAAACCTCTTAATATTAGCTTATATAAATAGCTAAATCCCGTATTATATACTCCTTTTTATTAAGAGTTAAAGGACCCTTTATATATTCTTTTATATTTAAAATATAGCCCGTATTAAAAAGAATTTTAGTTCTATAAAATATAATTTTTAAATTAATATTAATATATTAAATTTTAATATTTATATTAGCTTAGTTAACTATAATATTCGTATTATTATCTAGCTAGATTTTATATTATTAAAAAGTATTACGCTACTTTTTAAGTATATTTATATTAATTATAATAACTAAGGTATCGAGGGGGCCTAAGAATTTATTAAGCCCTAGAGAGGGGGACTTATCGAGGGGCATTTTTATTAAAATAAGTTCTTAATAAGTAATAGTTTATATATTAATAAGTTCGTTTAATAAGTTTATTTAATAGATTTATTTAATTTAAATAGAGCTTTAAGTAATATTAAAAGTAATAAGAATAAAAAGAATCTTTATAAGCTCTAATATAGTAAAAAAGTAGCTAAATATTAGCCCTTTTAGCCCTTTTCTTAAAAACCTCTACGTCGTTATTAAAGTTTAGAACCTTTATAGTTAAAAAAAGCCGCTTCTAGCTTTTACGGCCGACCTTTATTATTAATCTTTTTAACTAGTACTACTACGTAAAGGGCAGCTTACTTATCCTAAATTATATAGCGGTTTTTATATCGAAATTACTATATTACGTTAAGCGTATACTTAGGGTATATTACGTATATTATATAATTGAAAAGTATATTATATTATATAATTTCTTTTAAAAGCGTAATCCCGTTAAGGTCGATCTTTTATAGTTATAAAGTTATAAAAAAAACCACTATATATAACTATACTTTTAACCTTATTTTAATAAAACGCTACGAGGGCTATAATTTCCTTATTAAGTTTATCAAATTTATTTAAGCTAAGATTAATACGAAGTAGCTTAAAGTAGTTATTATCGATTTTAAGGATATAATAAGGTTAGTAATAATAAAGGTCTAATTTAATACTTAGCTTTAGCTCTATATTTTTTATATTAATTAGAACGTTAGTTTTAATATTAAGTATAAATAAAAAGGCCCCGATAGGCTTATTAATAAGCTTAACGTTAATTATAATAAAGAGGCTATTAAAAATAAAGCTTTTTAGAACTTTAATAATAGGGCCTAGGTTAATAAAACCCTTAGCTTTGGCTAATAGCTTTAAGAACTTCTTTATATATTTACTAGCTTTTATTAACTATAGGCTTATATTATATATACTAATACTAAGGACGACTTTAATACTACTTAGGACTACTTATTAATAGAGTTTATTAACTAGGACTTATTTTTTAAATATATTATAAATACTTATTTCTTTTTATAATATTAATAAGCTAACTATTTTATTTCTTAGTATAAGAACTTTAGTATTAAAACTAATAACTTTATTAAAATTATTTATAAGGACCTAAAGTTATATATTATTAATAGTAACTTTAACTTATATACTATTACTTATGTAATTAAGGAGATATTATATAATAAGGCTCGTATTTATAAAGAGAGGGTAGTAATAATAGAGTTTTATATTTATTATAAGTACTTTTATTATAACTAGCTTAGAACCGTTTTTAAAGAAGTTAGTTTAAAAATACTAAAGCTAATAAGTACTTAGTATTAAAAAGCCCTTTTTTTTATTATTAACTAACTAAATTCTTTACCCTCTTAATTTATTATTATATTTTAGTAGTTTTATATAGTGGTTTTTTTCTAGCTTTATAGGCGCAAAAGATCGACCTTAATAAGATTACGCTTTTAAAGGAAATTATATAACATAATATACTTTTTAATTATATAATACGTATAATATACCCTAAGTACGTACTTAACGTAATATAATAATTTCGATACGAAAACTATTATATAATTCGGGATAAGTAAGCTACCCTCTTTAGCTACTTACTAACGATAGGCTAAGTAATATACTTATATAATAGCGCTAATTAAAAAAGTTAATAATAAAGGTTAGCTATAATAATTAGCTATAATAGTCGGCCGTAATAGTTAGAAGCGGCCTTCTTTAATTATAAAAGTTCTAAACTTTAATAATAATATAGAAATTTTTAAAAAAAAGGGCTAAATAAGGTAATATTTACTACTTTTTAAAGCTCGTAAAGATTTTTTTTATCTTTATTATTTTTAATATTATTTAAAGCTCTATTTAAACTAAATAAATTTACTAAATAAATTTATTAAATAAACTTATTAATATATAAACTACTACTTAAATAGCTAGTTAGATAACTAGTTAAGAAGTTAACTAGTTAAAATATTACCTTAATAAGAACCTAAAAATACTTATTAATAAGTCTACCCCTCTTAAGCTAAGCACCCTCCTTAGCTAGCTTAATATTATAATTATTATAACTAATATAAGTATACTTAAGGATTAGTAAAGTACTTTTTAATAATACGGAATTTAGCTAAGTAATAATATAAATATTATAAATAACCGGGCTAATATAAATACTAAAATCTAGTATATTAATATTAGTTAAGAAATTATATTTTATAGAGTTAGAAATCTTTTTAATATAGGCTATATTATAAATATAAAAGAATATATAAGGGGCCCCCTAATTTTTAATAAAAAGGAGTATATAATACGGGATCTAGCTACTTATATAAGCTAATACTAAGAGGTCTTATATATATTAAAATAAGTATAGCTGGCCCTTTAAATAAGTAGGGGAAGGTTAGGAGCTATTTTAATTAGTAATTAAATATAGAGCGCAATATACTTAGTTTTTTTTAATACGTAATATATAGTACGGCCCTAGCAAATTACTTTATCGGGGGGGTAGTAGTTTTATAAATTAGTACCGTCTTTTATATAATTATAGGCTACTTAATTTTATAAAGTATAAAAAGCTATTTATAAAGATATATATTTACCCTTATTAATAATTATATTAGCTATTAATAAGTTTATTTTATTAATTTATAAATTATATTAATTTTATTATTAAATTAGAACGTTAGAGATACCCTAGTTAATATTCAAGACCTTATTATTATAAGTACTTTATATAAGTACCCGAAGTATAAGAATATTACTTATTATAGTACTTTACTAACTCCCCCCTTTTTAAAAGTACCTACCTCCTTAGTAATACTAGCTTAGCTAATAACGAGAGTATTTAAATAACTTTATAGAGCTTAGAACCTAGCGCTACGACTAGTTAAGTAGAGTATATACCGTAATTAGTTAGTATTTAAGTATAATAATAATAACGAGTTAGCTTTATAAAATATATAATTAATAATAATAATAAATAGAAATTAAGTAATAAAAATAAAAGAAGCCTAGTGATTAATAATAAAAAGATATAATAAATAACTTTAGCCTCTTTTAGCCTCGATAATATTAATAAAGCTATAGTTCTAGTAGTTTAGTTAGTTAATTAGAGGCTATAGTTAAAGAAGTTTTAATTAAAATTAATAAAAATCGAGATTTGTTAAGATCTCTTAATTATTATAATAAAAACTAAAATAATTTTTAAATTATATAAGTTTATGTCCCCCCGACGGAGCAATCCGCCGGGGCCGTACCGTGTATTATATATTAAAGAAAACTAAGTATAATACGCTCTATACCTAATTACTAACTAAAACTCCTAACTTTCTACTATAGTCTTCCTAAGTTCTAGCTACCTATAGGGCGAGCTTTACCCACTCTAACGTACATAGGACCTCCTAATACTAACCTATATAAATAACTAGGTTTAATATAATCTATTCTTTTATATAAGTATTATTATTATTTAAAAAGTTTTATAAAAGCTATTTAAAGTACTAGCTTATTACTCTAACCTTATATATTTCTAATTTATTTATTATAACTATTATAACTAAGTTAGTATTAATATATTAAATCTTAATATTTATATAGTAGTTTTTTTCTAGCTTTATAGGCACAAAAGATCGACCTTAACGGGATTACGGTTTTAAAAGAAATTATATAATATAGTATACTTTTTAACTATATAATATATATAATATACCCTAAGTACGCGCTTAATATAATATAGTAATTTTAATATAAAAACCGCTATATAATTCGGAATAAGTAAGCTACCCTCTTTAGTAATAGCGCTAGTTAAAAAGGTTAATAATAAAGGTCGGCTATAATAATTAGCTATAATAGTTAGTTATAATAGTTAAAAGCGGCCCTTAATTATAGAGGTTCTAAACTTTAATAATAACGTAGAGGTTTTTTAAAAAAAAAAGGGCTAAATAAGCTAATATTTACTATTTTTTAAAGCTTATAAAAATTCTTTTTATCCTTATTACTTTTAATATTACCTAAAGCTACTCTCTATTTAAACTAAATAAATTTACTAAATAAATTTATTATATAAATATACTAAATAAACTTATTAATATATAAACTATTACTCTACTCTTAGTATATAGTTAGTAATTAATAAGCTAAATATGCTTATTAATAAGTTTACTCTTTTTAAACTAAGCGCCCTCTTTAGCTAGCTCGATATTATAACTATTATAATTAATATAAATATACTTAAGGAGTAGTAAAGTACTTTTTAATAATACGGAATTTAGCTAAGTAATATTATAAGTATTATAAATAGCTAGATTAGTATAGATATTAAGATTTAATATATTAATACTAGCCTAGTTATAATAATTATAATAAATAGGCTAGAAGTATATAGGGTTAAGATAATAAGTTAATATTTTAAATAGTTCTTATAAAACCCCTTAGGTAATAATAATACTTATATAAAAAAATAGATTATATTAGACTTAATTACTTATATAGGCTAATATTAAGAAGTTTTATACGTATTAAAGTAGGTAAAGCTTGCCCTATAGGCGGGCAGTAGAAGGTTAGGAGTTATTAATAAAAGGGAGATAATAGTCGAGTTAGTTAATTACTATTTTGGTTAGTACTTAGGTATAAAGCGTATTATACTTAGTTTTCCTAGATCCTAATACGTAATACACAGTACGGCCCCGGCGGATTGCTCCGTCGGGGGGGTAATAGTTTATATATTAATAAGTTTATTTAATAAATTTATTTACTAGATTTATTTAATAGATTTATTTAATAAATTTATTTAGTAGATTTATTTAATAAATTTATTTAGTAAATTTATTTAGTTTAAATAGAGAGTAGCTTTAGGTAATATTAGAAGCGATGAGGATAAAAAGAACTTTTATAAGCTCTAAGTAGTAAATATTAGACTATTTAGCCCTTTTTCTAAAAACCTCTATGTTATTATTAAAGTTTCAAACCTTTATAGTTAAGAGTAAAAGGCCGCCTCTACTTATTATGGCTAATTATTACGGCCGACTATTATAGCTAATTATTATAGCCGACCTCTACCGTTAACTTTTCTAATTAGCGCTACTATATAAGTATATTGCTTAGCTTATTATTAATAAATAACTAAAGAAGGTAGCTTATCTATCCTAAATTAAATAGTAGTTTTTATATTAAAATTATTATATTATATTAAGTACGTACTTAGGATATATTATATATATTATATAATTAAAAAGTATATTATATTATATAATATCTTTTAAAAGCGTAATCCCGTTAAGGTCGATTTTTTATACTTATAAAGCCGGAAAAAAAACTGTTATGTAAGTTTACGTAAGTAAGTTCTATATAAAGCTAGTGGCTAAGAAAATTATAATTATTTTATTAATTAAAAAAACTAGGATATAGCCTGCCTAGCTAACTAATATAGCCCCCTTAGTAGAACTTTTTATAAAAAGTTTATAAAAAATTACGGGTACTTAGCTAAGTTATTAATGAAGTTAATAAATAAACACGTATTTTTCTAATTTAATATTAATTATAATACTATATTTAAAATACTAAAACTAGCCCTTATAATAGCGCTTATATTTTATTATTTTAAGCCCGAGCTATTTATATACTTAAAGATTAATATATTAAACTTAGTATATATTAAAGCCTTAGTTTAATAATAAATTAATAATAGCTTATATAGTAGTTTTTTTCCGGCTTTATAGGCGTAAAAAATTGACCTTAATAAGATTACGCTTTTAAAAGAAATTATATAATACGCTACACTTTTTAATTATATAATACGTATAATATACCCTAAGTATACGCTTAATATATAGTGGTTTTTTTTTAGCTTTATAGGCGTAAAAGATCGACCTTAACGGGATTACGTTTTTAAAAAAAATTATATAATACGGTATACTTTTTAATTATATAATATATATAATATACCCTAAGTACGCGCTTAACGTAATA